TAGTCTGTAAAATCATTAAAGGTTCTGATCAAAGTGTTGAAGCATCAATCATTGATTATTGATTTGTTCCTGTCAGATTCCAGGAATTCACTTTTCTAGACTGGGTTGAATGACCTTTGACCTGCTTGACATGAGGGGGATTTCTACACACTGGGGGTCCGAATGCTGTCCTGTTCTGACCTCAGGTCAGCAGGTCCAACTCAGTTACACAGAGGGACTAAATTAAACTCTGGATCCAGGAACAAACTCAGAAAATATTTATTAGAACAGAAGATATGAACTTTGATTTATGATCAATTATAGATAATTATTCACAGAAATATCAATAATTCTATAATTACATACACCAATGTTTCCAGTCTGCAGCCTTCAGTCTGTAGAAAACCACAGAGCTCCTTCACTCCAGAATCTCCCATCTTGGTTCTGTTCAGGTCCAGTCTTGTCAGATGGGTCGATTTGGACTTCAGAGCTGAGAACAGAGAAGTCCATCTGGTCTTTGAAAATCTGCAGCCCTTCAATCTGAATAAAGAATAAAAGATGAGCTGAAGCCAACAGGATGCAGTTAAAACTGAAATATGAACAAATAAATAATAAAAATGTAGAACATTTATTTTCCTGAATGTAAAAGAAACATGATGAACTGATTCTAACATCTGATCCAGTCAAACTGGTTTAAAGAGTCCAAATCAGCAGAACCAGAACATTTTATCAAAAAGAAACTCAAAGGTTTTCTGAAAGTTTCTCAGGATTTTAAACTCAGTCGGATGTTTTTTCTCTCTCCATGTTTCCTTACAGGCTCTGTATCAGCTGACTGCTCTGTACCTTCATTTATCATCAGATATTTTATGTCTCCAGTTTTTGTTAATTAATCTATTAATGATGTTTTTCTTGCTGGTTGTATTTTAACTGTTCTGAATCCTCCATCAGAGACGTTGCAGAAATGGGAACATTATCATAAAGGAACAACCTGATTGTAAAGATGAGTCATTTTTAAATCTATTTTCCAGGTGAACCACATGAGGATGATTTCAGTAAATGATGAAGCTTGATGCACACAAAGCTTTACAAAGGTAAGATCTCACTTCCTGTCCTACAAAATAAGAGCTGAATCAAGATGTTTGAACTAAATGACTTTAACACCATAACCTTCACAAAGTCAGTATTTACTGCAGGACTGTTAATTAATGATCTTTATATTATTTCTGTCTCCTTCATGTCAGGAACTCAGCCAGAAGACTGTGGTCATCCTGACAGAGTCTGACTGTCAGAACAAACTCAGATTTCCTCTGGAAGCTGCTCTCAGTGGTTTGGAGGACGACTGACTTGTAATTTGCTCCATCAGTGGAATTGACACTAAAATGGAAACTCATCACCTGCTTCCATGTTGTTTTGCTTCCTGCCAACATAAAACTCCTGCATGAGCTGCAGCTCCATATGAGCAGGCAGTCGAGTCCCCAGAAAGCTTCCCTGTTTCTAGGAACCATTTCATCCAGAGTTGGTCGACTTTCTCTGTCAGACGGTGAACCTTCAGTCTGAGCATGTGCAGAACCTCCTAACACACCTGGTCCAGATTCATGTGCTGCAGTCTCTGCTGGTTCTGATGTCTGGACCAGAATACTCATGTCCAGAAGAACCTGCAGCCTGTTAAGCTCAGAGAAAAACTCAGTTGTATGGATTTTTAAAAACAAAGCCTGTGTGCTGTGGTGGCGCAGGGGCTAAGCACAACCCACATATGGAGGCCTTAGTCCTCGACGTGGCTGTCGCAGGTTCAATTCCTGGCCTTGGCTACCTTTGTCGCATGTCTTCCCCTTCTCTCATTTCCCACTTTCCTGTCAATTAACTATCAAATAAAGGCCACTAGAGCCAATGAAGCTGAAGTTGGTTTCTGATTGAAGATTCAGTTAATGGATAAAGGGCGTTTTCATTCTCTCTCTTTTTGCACCTTGACCTTTGACCTTCTTTAGATGAGGGAGATTTCTACACACTGGGGGTCCGAATGTCATCCTGTTCTGACCTCAGATCAGCAGGTATTGGAGAATTGAAAGGTGGCTAAACTCTTAAATATATAAGCAAAAGAAATAACGCATGGAAACGTAGTTCTTGCTGCTAGGGCATAGACGAGCCGAAGATTTATTACACTACCACGGATTCCTCATTACATTTTCATCAGTTCAATACTCAAAAATCTTCCAAAGTCTCAACAAAAAATCTTCTCATATTCTTAGCATCACACCTTTTTATACACTCTCATCTTCACTGATGTGAGTTTGGAAATTTCATCCAGTGGCGTTGCTCTACTCTTGATTTGCGTAAAGATTCTGGCGTGCCTTATACTCAGTGTGTGTTGGACGACCTTTAAAATATTTGAGACCTCATGAACCCAATATCTGCTCCATTTCAGAATTGCTGAATAGGACAATTTATCTCAAATTGTTGTTCTTATCTGTCCCATAGCCATCATTTCCAAGTCATTTTTGGCTCCATTTGCGCTTTGGAGGCAAATGGAAGGAAAGGAATCAGGTCAGTTCGACCTAAAGAGGTGTCAAAATCCTTTTGCAAAAACAACTCCTTAAATAGTATTTCCGCTCTTACACATGTCCAACTCAGTTACACAGAGGGACTAAATTAATCTCTGGATCCAAGTCCAGGAACAAACTCAGAAAATATTTATTAGAACAGAAGATATGAACTTTGATTTATGATCAATTAGATAATTATTCACATATTTTATAAATATATAATTACAATACCCCAAATAGTCCAGTTTGCAGCCTTCAGTCTGTAGGAAACCACAGAGCTCCTTCACTCCAGAATCTCCCAGGTTGGTGCTGTCCAGGTCCAGTCCTGTCAGATGGGTCGGTTCGGACTTCAAAGCTGAGAACAGAGAAGTCCAGCTGGTCTTTGACAAACTGCAGCGATTCAATCTGAATAAAGAATAAAAGATGAGCTGAAGCAAACAGGATGCAGTTAAAACTGAAATATGAACAAATAAATAATAAAAATGTAGAACATTTATTTTCCTGTATGTAAAAGAAACATGATGAACTGATTCTAACATCTGATCCAGTCAAACTGGTTTAAAGAGTCCAAACCAGCAGAACCAGAACATTTTATTAAAAAAGAAACTCAAAGTTTTTCTAAAAGTTTCTCAGGATCGTAAACTCAGTCGGATGTTTTTTCTCTCCATGTTTCCTTCCAGGCTCTGTATCAGCTGACTGCTCTGTACCTTCATTTATCATCAGAGATTTTATGTCTCCAGTTTTTGGTCATTAATCTATTAATGATGTTTTTCTTGCTGGTTGTATTTTAACTGCAGCTCATTGCTAAGTATGACAGATGTAAACGTTTTATTTCAATCCGTCTAATTCAGAGTTTTACAACATCCATTACAGCTCAGATTCTGAAAGTTGATCATTTTCTCATTTTGTGGTGATTCAGTTCCTGAACCATCAACTAGAAAATATTGAGTCTTTTCTCTGTCAGATTGATTTGGGTCATTTAGTTCAAGTTCTGAATCCTCCATCAGAGACGCTGCAGAAATGGGAACATTATCATAAAGAACAACCTGATTGTGAAGACGAGTCATTTTTAAATCTATTTTCCAGGTGAACCACATGAGGATGATTTCAGTCACTGATGAAGCTTGTTGCACACAAAGCTTTACAAAGGTAAGATCTCACTTCCTGTCCTACAAAATAAGAGCTGAATCAAGATGTCTGAACTAAATGACTTTAACACCATAACCTTCACAAAGTCAGTATTTACTGCAGGACTGTTAATTAATGATCTTTATATTATTTCTGTCTCCTTCATGTCAGGAACTCAGCCAGAAGACTGTGGTCATCCTGACAGAGTCTGACTGTCAGAACAAACTCAGATTTCCTCTGGAAGCTGCTCTCAGTGGTTTGGAGGACGACTGACTTGTAATTTGCTCCATCAGTGGAATTGACACTAAAATGGAAACTCATCACCTGCTTCCATGTTGTTTTGCTTCCTGCCAACATAAAACTCCTGCATGAGCTGCAGCTCCATATGAGCAGGCAGTCGAGTCCCCAGAAAGCTTCCCTGTTTCTAGGAACCATTTCATCCAGAGTTGGTCGACTTTCTCTGTCAGACGGTGAACCTTCAGTCTGAGCATGTGCAGAACCTCTCCTAACACACCTGGTCCAGATTCATGTGCTGCAGCTCTATTTTCTGTATCTGGTTTGTTCAATACAATCCTGATCCTCTCTGGGTTTTATTTTTAGGTCTTCTGATAAACGACGCTTTATTGGGGCCTGCCTATCGCAATGCATAGGGAGAGCAGTCACTGCCTCATGGAGCAAGGCAGTCACTGCAAGTCAATCATGACATCACACCGAATGCCTACTCCGGTAAAGTGCTTTTGAAATTTTTCTAGGGCTGATGGTTTTCTGTCAAGGTGCTTCAGAGTGAAATCTTGTGACAGGGTAACCTTCAGGCACTCCACCATTCATTTTCAGACTTTTCTGAAAAATTTCAGAGCTCAGCGCACACCATTTTTCTTTCATTGCTGCTATTACTGTGAGAGAGGTACAGACATTGAGTTGCGGTACTCTCGGAGATGACATATGCTTCAAACGGCTTTCGAATACATATTACGGTTCCTGAATGGGAAAGAGTTGTTTGGACTGCTTTTTTTAGTGAAACTGTCTGGCTCAAACCATCCCCTGCCAACTGTCACTCACAGTTGACAGTTGGCAGAGGATTAATTACCGTAGTAACAGAACACAGAGAAGGGCAGAGCTGCGGCTTAGGACTACAAACAGGCCATCTCTGGAGATCTGACTATGGCCAACACTCAGTTAAAACAGAAGGGTGAGCAGAATGTCAGAACTACAAACATGGCGGAACTGTCAGTTACTACAGAGGAGGACTAAGATGGCATTCAGAACTACTTGCTGTTTTGAACAATATATGACTGGTTTAACCCAACCACTGTTACACATGGGATTAGTGTTGCCATTTAAAATGAAGCTTATTGAAAATTTCTAAATAAAAGCCTCTCTTTTTAGCCTTTTTTTTTTAGCCTTTTACCTAAATTAATCTTTTAGCTATTTTTCTTACCTATTAACTATGTTAATAATACTGAACACTGTATGGAGGAAGTGCATGTAAGACAACATGCCAGTGATATACCCCACAAGCTACTCACAGCATTCATGCTAAAATTAGCATTTTGGCTAATTTTAGCTTATGTATGAATTTTAACATTCTGAATGGTGCAAGTCCATGTTAGTAAACATTCTTGTGATTCTCCACATGGTACTCTATAATTTTTTAGCTAAGCTTAGCATTGATGCTTATTTTTAGCATCAGAACGTTGGGTCCAAACCGATGGGCACACTTTGGCAGGCCCGGGTTAAATTTCTTCGTGAATTTTCTAGTTTTAAACATTGATCACCTCATTCTATCATGAGCTAGCATAGCTTTAGCTAGCACAGCTTTAGCTAGTATAGCTTTAGCTAACATAGCCTTAGCTAGCAAAGCTGCTCTCACACACAACAGCTCAACTGAAATTTATTCAGTTTTTTGCTGATTATTTGTTTGTAGTTTCAGTTTAAAGTTCCCAGTTTAGTGACCATCATCCTTTATTGATCCAATAATTTAACTGTAAAGTTGGGCTGTTGTGTTCAGTGTTACTTTTAAAAAGTAAGTTTAATCAGATTACTGACTACTCCTTGAAAAAGTAACTAAGTTAGATTACTGACTACTTGATTTGGAAAATAACTAAGTTACATTAAAAGTAACTTTCTTAGTTACTTTCAGCAGCTGCCAACAACAGCGCTCCACCACCTGTGAAAATTACATTGAGCTTTGCCAATACTAAATTGGAAGTTATTTTATAATAGTAACATCAACAATGTATTTCCACTTATAAGGTTGAACTGAAGGAGAGAGTGTTTAATAGTTACAACAGTACAACATTTTTTTTTGCAATTTGTGTGTTGCACTATTGTCTGGAAAACTCTAAAAAGGATTTTATAGCACCCACCCACCCTGCCCCAGCCTCCAGGTTCTGTGTTGTCAGAGCGCAGCGCATAGAGCTCCTCCTGCGGCTCCACAACTCAGATGGCTGCACAGATTTGTGACACTTATCTTAATATTAATTATTATAATGGTGTTTAGCTGCACAACTTTACAGACTCGTCCATTCTTGGCTGTTTTCACCTTTATTGCGCTGTTCATATTAGTCTCGATGTCTGCAGTTTTCTGGAGCGCAGCACGAAGGTCGACGACATTCACAGCAAATATATTAACTTCACATTAACTAAGACACGGCGGGATGTTTCATCTGGGAAATGATAGACAGGGAGAGTCTGACGTAAATGACCTGGATGAGTCTCTGCTTATTTCCAAGTCCAAATGAGTAACTTCACGTTTAAAAACGAACCCAAAAAACCCAACCCGCGACCCATTAAATTTGCAAGCAACCTTAGAAACAAAACTAGCCCAAAGCCGCTTATAATAATTGGACTTCGCGACAGAAACTCAAAATAGTTCCTGTTTTTCCAACAATGAAATGCTCATCTCACTTCTCTCTCAATAGTTTACATTTCTGTCGCTGCTGATAACTGTCACATACAAACGGTGGTCGCTCCCCAAGATGCATAGAGGAAATAACATTAAATTACAAACGAACATAGTAACGCAGAGTAACACAAAGTGATTTCGTTAAGTAACTGTAGTTACAAAGTAACATATTAAGTAATGCGTTACTGACATCACTGGTTGCGTTAATACATTTTGTTGTGATTTAGGAGAAGCTGTGTGTTTCTTCTTCATGTGTTCAGTATTTGCTGGTTGAAATGTTCAGATTCTCTCCTTCATTCGTTGCTCTATAACAGCTCAGCTCATCAGGCTGCTGCTCATAAACAATAACCTACATAGACTGAAGGGTTTGGCTGCTGGTTCCTGATAATCAGCTGGAGACCCGACTTGGTAACCGGATCAGAACCACTCAGTTTATTCATGAATGGCCTTGGGTTCTTCTNATAAGTTTGTTAAGAAAATACATTTAAAATAAGCTACTTGTAAAACTTAACCATATGTTCAATATTAGATCAAATTAATGGTGTTTCAAATAAGGAAATTCACTTCAAATTATATCTATGGTTCAATTAGTGTAATCCCTTATGTAGGATATTTCTATTGAAACATATTGCACTAAGTTGAATTAAAATAACTTAGCTTGCAGTTCTCTCTAATTCAGCTAGTTTCTCTGTGGACTGAGCAGGAATTCACAGGGGGTCGTGGCTCTGTGTGTGAGTTTAACCTTTTGACCACTTTGATAAGATTTAACAGCTGGTGTAAAACAATCTGGTCCGGTCAACAGAGTAGAGCTTCCTCTCGGGACAGGGTCATAAAAAACATCCGTCTCCATTCAAAACAAAATAACACTTCTTTGATCTTAGAAACAGGTTTTTACTGGAACATAGTCAACTAGATTTAAATGAACTTAGCTAAGGACAGTCCCCTAATTTGAATACAGCAGAGAAGGGAAACACGCCCTCTCTTTAAAAGTATGGGACCCGGAACCTTAATTTCAGATCGCTCCGGGGTCACCCAAGTTGCTGTCTCAGGGGAACGGTGCGGCGATGAAATGGTTCCCTGTAACGTTTTGTCGTGGTGTGTGGATGTCTGTCGAGTGAGGTAAATATTGAATTGGATGCTGGTTTATGATTTTGAGTTTTGTCAATTTCATTAGTTGTTTGTCTAATAAATGTTGTTTATGTTTTGGACTTGGAAAAACGTTTTTGTCTTGTCTTTATGGTTCAGCTGATACAATGACGACATCAATGAATCCAGGCAGAAGAGAAAATAAAACGAGTCAAAGGATTTTAATTCTTCCTCTTCTGATCTGCTTTGACATGATCACAGAACTGCCAAAACATATGTACAAAAATACCAGACAAAGTGAATCAGCAACGTCATCAGCCGGTGTAATGCTGAACTGATGCAGTGAAGCTACCAGTAGCAGGAGAGCAGAGCTGTGCCAAGAAGCTAACAAATACTGAATAGAAGAAAAGCTGCCATTGATACATTTGCAGCTAAGCATGATTTAATGTTACACAATACAGTTTTGCCAAGTTGCTCAAAGTCTAAACTGGTACTGTTGTGCATATAAAGTGTAAAGTTTACCTTGGACCAAACGCACCCCAAAGGAATCCCAGCGCCCCCCTTTTGTAAAAATTTCCATTAGCGCCCCCTGCCGTCCTCTGAACGCCCCCCGGGGGGCGGTCCACCCACGTTGAGAACCGCTGCTNTAAATGGAGCCCAGTTTGAATCGGATCTTTATTGATCCAAAGAGACAAACAATATCAGACACTAAATGACAGACATGAGAAAATAAACAGGAGGTCAGAGGTCATCATCATGATCCAGTCAGAGTCTCTTTAGACTCAAAGTGCTGCAGCTTCAACCTCTGAGGATCAGCAGGACACAGAGACCGTTCTCTACTTTACAGAGATCATCAGTTCCTCCACCTGCAGAGAGAAGAAGGAAGGAGAGAGAAGATCAGTGAGTGTTTCCAGCCTCTCCAGCAGCAGTCAGTGACGCAGCACATCCAGTAGACGGTTTCCAGGCTGCAGTCAGACTGATCTCAGAGCTGTGACCAAGATGAACCTGATCAGTTGTTTCCTGTTGAACTGAGAGAACAAGCAGATCTGAGATCAGATCTGCTGCTGCCACAGTTTGATGAATGTCTCTAGACATGTTGGACGGCTGGACGCTGGAGTCCAGCTGGACGTCCTGGAGACATGGACACAGCAACAACACTCATCTTCACACCAACACAAACACAGGAACACAGCAAGCTGCTGCTCCTCTGATTGGCTGATTGCTGTCTCTGTGTCCAATCAGGAAGCCTGAACCATTCTCCTCCCACTGAGAAGCTTTACTGGGAACACTGGAGCTTTGCTTTGATGCTAACTGGGTTTAGTTCAATATGCTGACAGCAGCTGGACTCACTACAAACATTTACTTACAACAAATCATCTACAAGATCCTTCAGCTGCTGAACATCTGAATCCTTCAGGTTGTTTTCTCTCAGGTCCATTTTTGTCAGATGGAGGCTGTTGGACTTCAGAGCTGAGGCCAGAGAATTACAGCTGATCTTTGACAACCTGGAGTTCTCCAACCTGAATAAAGAATAAAAGATGTGAGCTGAAGCCAACAGGATGCAGGTTAACCAGTTCAACAGAACCAGTTAAAGAGTCTCATGAATATTAATGCCAACATGGTGCTGCTTCAATAAAGACCTGCTGACTTCAGAACCAGAACCAGGTACTGGGTTATGATGTGTTGGCTGATTTTAATCAGTAAATCATTCCAGGTTCTGATCAAAGTGTTGAAGCATCAATCATTGATTATTGATTTGTTCCTGTCAGATTCCGGGAATTCATTTTTCTAGACTGGGTTGAATGACCTTTGACCTGCTTGACATGAGGGGGATTTCTACACACTGGGGGTCCGAATGCTGTCCTGTTCTGACCTCAGGTCAGCAGGTCCAACTCAGTTACACAGAGGGACTAAATTAAACTCTGGATCCAAGTCCAGGAACAAACTCAGAAAATATTTATTAGAACAGAAGAAATGAACTTTGATTAATGATCAATTATATATAATCATTCACTGAAATATCAATAATTATATAATTATAAACCTCAATGTTTCCAGTCTGCAGCCTTCAGTCTGTAGAAAACCACAGAGCTCCTTCAGTCCAGAACCTTCCAGGTTGGTGTCGTACAGGTTCAGTCCTGTCAGATGGGTCGGGTTGGACTTCAGAGCTGAGAACAGAGACGTCCAGCTGGTCTCTGACAAACTGCAGCTAAACAATCTGAATAAAGAATAAAAGATGAGCTGAAGCCAACAGGATGCAGTTAAAACTGAAATATGAACAAATAAATAATAAAATGTAGAAAATTAATTTCCCTGAATGTAAAAGAAACATGATGAACTGATTCTAACATCTGATCCAGTCAAACTGGTTTAAAGAGTCCAAACCAGCAGAACCAGAACATTTTATCAACAAAGAAACTCAAAGTTTTCTATGAGCAGCAGCCTGGATGAGGTGAGCTATTTCTGCTGGTTCCTGATCATCAGCTGGAGACCCGACTTGGTAACCGGATCAGAACCACTCAGTTTATTCATGAATGGCCTTGGGTTCTTCTTAAAGCTGCTGAAAGCCAATGGAGGCCATTATTTCCTAAGGAGACGTGACCTGATGAAGCTTCATCACAGAGACGAGGCTCCAACCGACTGACAGCTGTCAGACTGAAGAGGACGGTTCCTCTCTGACCCGGCCCAACAGAACCACAGCTTCAGGACAAAGTGAGGAACCTGCTGCTGCTGCAAACCTCACTGTCATTCAGCTCATCTAGATTTGCTTTTCTACAATCAGTCACTTCTTAGATGTTTCATTAATGATGATTTGAACTGGTCAGTGTTTGTGGCTCCAATGGAGGGAAACATTTCATTCTGGATGTAAAGATGAGAATCAGAAATAAAACAATACGAATCTTTACCAACCAAACTGAAACATCGCCATCATTAATTAACTTCATTTGAATTATTTTACTCATTTTGTTCATCAGACAAAAACATTATAAAAACTGAAAAACAAAGTTCAATAATCTCAAAATCAGAAATAAGAAAATAATTCATTTATAAGGTAAAATGTTTTAGAGATTTTAATCTGACATTTAAAAAGGTTGTTTTAAAATATTACAATTAAATTATTAATTAAACTAAGGACTAAAGTATCAATGAATGATTTTATTGTATAAATAGAGAAAACAAACCTCAGACTCTTCACTTTACTGACTGAACTCTCCAGGATCTCAAATAGATTCTTCATATCAGAGTCTCCACCTCCCTTTATGTAGATCTGACTTATTTCCAGTTCAGTCAGATCTGGGTTGGACTTCAGAGCTGAAGCCAAAACTTCACATTCAGCCTTATAGTGATTACAGCCACTAAGTCTGTGATGAGAGAAGAAATAAATTCAGTTCTAATGAAATCAATCTGGATCATAAACAGATAAAATATGATAACAGTGATGTCATCATGATGTCATCATCTGATCTTCAGTTTACTGAGTTTGACCCGACAGAGAGTCTGTGCAGTTCCTGACTAAAGTCCAGGTTCTGGTTCTGGTTCTGGTCCAGGCTTCATGTCCTCAGACCTTCAGCTCAGTCAGATGTTGAAGATCTTCTATCATCTGTGAAGGAAAGTTCAGTTTCTCTGCAGCATCAGAGCCTCAAAGGAGCTGCAGCAGCTGATGAAGAGGCTGACTGAGCTGAATGAAGGAAACTACTGGAGATGATGGAGAGGAGGAGGAACTGCTCACAGCTCTGACAAGTCACACTGACTTGGACTAGACCGTTTGGCTCCTTGAGATCTTCCACCAAGCAGGAAGTGAGTTATAAATGAAGTGAGCAGAGCAGGAAGTCCAGCCTGCTGTGGACCTCTGGCATCTCTGGGTTTGTTTAGCCCATATCTGCTGCTGCAGCATCTAGAATCCTCCTCATCATTAATAATAGTAGTATATTCTATAGAAACATGGCTCCCAGCAGCAGATTATTAAATGCTGCCACAGAGGAAACTGGGAGCAGCCCAGACATATGATGCTCCCAGTTGTGTCTCCGTTCATCTGCTGGATTTGATGCTTTAACAAAGTAGAAAGAAGAAACAGGAGGACAATAGTGCTGAATCAGCATTTACACAATGAAAACATCTGGACTCACCGAGCCTTTCTGCAGTTCCTCACAGCTGGAACCAGTCTCAGTCGTCCATCTGGTGATGTGTTGTACTTCTCCAGGTCCAACTCATCCAGAACCTCTGACATCTGCAGCATGAAGGCCAGAGCTGAACAGTCAGACTCTGAGAGATACTTCCCTGAATCCAGCAGCCGTTGGATCTCCTGATAAAATGAGACGTCGTTCATCTCCACCAGACAGTAGAAGATGTTGATGCTTCTGTCAGCAGAGATTCTATCAGTGTTCATCTCCTTCAGGTTGGTGATGATTCTCTGGATGGTTTCTGGACGGTTCTCTGTCTGACCCAGCAGATCTTCTAAGAGTCTCTGGTTGGACTCCACAGTGAGACCATGAAGGAAGCGGACAAACAGGTCCAGGTGGCCATTTTTACTGCTGAGGGATTTCAGCATGACTTTCTTCATGAACTCATCTAGAGATGTTTCTTTGTATTTTTCTCCCAGGAACGTCTTGATGACCTCTGACCTCCTGCTGGTGAAACAGTGGAGCATGTAGACTGCAGCCAGAAACTCCTGGATGCTCAGATGAACAAAGCAGTAGACTGATTTCTGGAAGATCACACTCTCTCTTTTGAAGATCTCTGTACAAACTCCTGAGTACACCGAGGCCTCTGTAACATCCAGACCACACTGCTCCAGGTCTTCTTGGTAGAACATGATGTTTCCTTCCTCCAGCTGTTCAAACGCCAGCCTCCCCAGCTTCAGAAGAACTTTCCTGTCAGCCTTCATCAGCTCCTGTGGACTTGTCTCATGTCCTCCATGGTACTTGTTCTTCCTCTTTGTCTGGACCAGCAGGAAGTGTGAGTACATGTCAGTCATGGTCTTGGGCAGCTCTCCTCTCTGCTCTGAGGTCAACATGTTCTCCAGAACCGTAGCAGTGATCCAGCAGAAGACTGGGATTCCACACATGAGACTTTTTGATTTCTTGATGTGGGAGATGATTCTGCTGGACAGCTCTTCATCACTGAACCTCCTCCTGAAGTACTCCTCCTTCTGGGCGTCGGTGAAGCCTCGTACTTCTGTTACCCTGGAAACACATGAAGGAGGGATCTGATTGGTCGCTGCAGGTCTGGTAGTTATCCAGATGAGAGCAGAGGGAAGCAGGTTCCCCTTGATGAGGTTTGTCAACAGAACGTTGACTGATGACTTCTGTGTGACGTCAGAAACCAGCTGACTGTTGTTGAAGTCCAGTGAAAGTCTGCTTTCATCCAGGCCATCAAAGATGAAGAGCAGTTTGCATTTAGCCAGCTGCTCTGCTGGGAGCTTCTGGAGTGTTGGATGGAAAACATGGAGCAGTGAGAGAAGACTGTGCTGCTCATCTCTGATCAAGTTCAGCTCCCTGAACGAAAGCAGAACCACCACACTGACATCTTGATTCTCCAAGCCCTCGGCCCAGTCCAGAGTGAACTTCTGCACTGAGAAGGTTTTTCCAACACCAGCGACGCCGTTGGTCAGAACCACTCTGATGGCTCCATGTTGGTCAGGGAAGGATTTAAAGATGTCATGGCACCTGATTGGAGAGTCTTGGAGGTTCTGGATCTTGGAAACTCTCTCCAGCTGCTTCACCTCATGCTGGGTGTTAACATCTTCACTCTGTCCCTCTGTGATGTAGAGATCAGTGTAGATCCTGTTGAGGAGGGTTCTACTTCCTGTTTCATCACTTCCTTCAGTCACACATTCACATCTCCTCCTCAGACTGATCTTAT